GACGTATGTGGTGGATAACCCCGTTTCCTGGCGGACGTATGTGGCGGAATATCCCCAGGTAGCGGTGCATGGACATGCCAAGAGGCATTGAAATTTTCTAGCGATAACACAACCACATTGCACTGAGACCTGGAACTGGTCACGTTGTCATCGGTAATCTGTCCCGTAGTCACTGACTTTACGCGACAAAACCCTTCCGAACTCGTAACGTCTATCACTTAGCTCAGAGAGCGGGTCCAATTCATGCGGCAGAGGAACGAATGCAGCTCCTATGGTAGGCGCGCCATATTTGAACTGCAGGCGGAGGCCTGCGCGTCATATTTCAAACCAGTCGCGTAGAGCACCAAACATGCACGGCGGAACAGCAATGCCTCTCAGACGTACCCACTCAATCAGCATTCGCTCCGCGGGGCGTTGGCGGCGGGTCGTCATTTGTATGCAGGGATCTCGCTCTTCTCAGTCACCTTTTCAGTGACCCAGATCGAAAGTGACTCATGGCAACAGCCGTATGCGACGTTAGCTTCGCGACGCAAAAGGGCAACATGATTTGTAGTATGGGTTTGTCGGTTTCGTTAGCCTGCCATGTAGGCGACATTGTAACGCTTCAGCGTATTTAGTGTTACATTGTAACATGCTATGTGTTACATTGTAGGATGTTATGTCGTATGACACCACGCTACAGTGTTGCTTTGTGTTGTCACGAATAACGCTGCAATGTTGTAAGATAGGTTACATTTAGCAGTGCAATGCATTAAACGTCGAACAATCCCATTGTCACTTCCACCAACTCGATGCACCCTGGTCAATTGCCCAACCGGGCAGTTGTTATTGGTATATTTGTCCTGCAACCCACTGACCAACAATTGATTCCCTCTGGTGTGGATTTCTGGCGTGAATATTGGAGTAGAATATCTTCCCAGGGACTGTGCTGATCAGTTTACTTTTTAATTTGCCCTGCATTGCGTTTTACTCAACGTGACGTATCCCTTGATCTTTGATGAGTTTAGCTTGGAATAACTTTTGGGTGGTTTAGCATCACATGAGCAGCGATGAAGCTCAGTAAACAAAACTATGGAGGGGAGAAGGGGAGCAAACCACATAGCTGTAACGCAGAGAGGCGCACCGGGGATTTCGCCTGGCTCCCCTCTCGAATGCTCGGTTCACTGGGATTTCCTTTGGGGGGGGGGGGGGGGCAAAGACTGCAATCAAATGAGGGCAATGACCTCCTCAGAGAGAGGAGAGAAGTTTGCACTTCATTTCTCGCTGGATTTCAGTGCAACCGGCTGGCTTCACGGGTCTGACGTAATCCACATCTAACCCGGTCGGCGGGCCGATGCTCCCCTCAATTGCCAGCGCTTCCGGAGAGCGCCACGCAAACTTCAGAGCCCTCTGGCCTACAACGGCAGTTGATTTCTTACAGCCATCTTCCGAACTATCCCAGGCTGAGCTGTGTTATCATCAGCGCTGCTCGCTTCTATGCGAGTGTGATCAAGCGGAACTCAATGCCGGGCGATGGCTGCTTTTCAGCTGACGCCATCGGCGCTTCACAGCGACATCTACTTCCGCTCCGCGCCAGCTAGATGCCGTCGACAGCGCGTCGGGGTACAAAAGGCACGTCAACTGACATCACTGAAAAAGGGCAAGGATGCTCTTCGGAGATGACTTCGCCACCCTCAGACCCGCGACGAACCAACTTTGCCACTAAGAGGAACGGAGTGCCTCTCATACCCTCTCTCCCGCCCCCGCCCGCCGCCAGTTTCGAGTGCCAATCAAACGACGCACCGGAAGTCAGACCCTTCCACCGGAAGCAGATCAATGACGCGCCGTTGGAGTCTAGCAGCTTTTGATGACCGGCTGGCGGCAATGCGCCCTGCGGATCTCAGCGTCTTTCGCGATATCTGACGCCGGCAGTGGTCTTCACCTTTCACGGCATCTGACGTCGGCAGCGGTCTTCACCGTTCGTGACACGTGACGTCGGCAGTGGTCTTGATACCTCAAGAGTTGTTGATACCTCATTAAAAAATGTTTGGAGATCTTCCAGGGACGTAGTTGCCTGTCCAGTTGTTTGTTGGGCTCCAGTCTCCCCCCTACCCAGCTTTGAGAACGAAGTTTGCCAAGTTTGGGGAAAAACCTGTTTATTAGCGAATTTGCGGTATGTTTTTCATTTTTTTCGCGGCTTAGCCCCCCCCCCCCCCCGCTCCCCACCCTCTTCGCGAAGCTACGCCCCTGGGGTCACCACTAGCCTCCTGTCGTTGTGTCCATCCCATCACTCCTGTACTCACCCCGTCACATACCACGGGCGTGGGTAGGTCAATGCACATCCACCTGTTGTTAATTTAATGCACATCCACCACTTGTTAATTTTAACGTTAGCCTTACGCTGACGCGTGAGGAGAACTGGATCTTTGCTGGAGCTCGGCCCAGCTGTTCTCGGTGACATTTCATATTTCTAAGTAATTCCAGGTATCATTTCTGAGAAATCCAGATAAAATTTAAGCCTGAAGACCGCTGGACCGCTTCTGTCACGATCTGAGATATTCCCTGCAGGGAAAAGCGTGCACAGCACGCGCCAATGAGGCACAGAGCGTCAAATTCAGTTGATGCCAGTGCAGTCATCGATAACAATGACGACGTTCATGTATTCACTCGCGACTCCGTCTTTCACGGATTCGTGCACATCTGCTATAAAAACAACAGATATGACCGTGCATTTTTGTCATGGGCGTGTCTGGCCTCGATCACAGATCAGCACGTTAAGTTGGCTTATCTCATATCTACTTAAATATGATGTTCCAGTCTCCACGCAGTTTTGAATGAAATGGTGGGAATTGGAAGCTCTTAGTGAAGGCTTTAGTGATGTACTCAACACGTAACACTATTATCCACAGGTTGGCGTAAATTCACGCGTGGAAGCTATTTTTGTAAGCTTTATCAAGTTAAGTTAACTTAATAGGGTGGCCGAATGAGCGCAGCAGTCGGCGCGCCCGAAAACACCAATAAACAACAAAAGCAAAGAAATTGGTACTGTGACCCGAATATCGTGCACTGACTGTCCAAGTAGTAGTTCGGTGTTCCTGGTCTTTACGTCATTGCGGTCATCAAATGACTTCATTGCTTTCAGTTGAGTCCATTCGCACCATACGTCGTAGTGCTTGGGCGTCTACATCAGCTGCAGAACCTGAGTCACGGTCGGAAAGTTTTGGGGCCCGTTTTTTTCTCTATGTGAATACATGAATAGAAGAAATGGTAGTGAATTTTGACAAATTCAAGAACGTCAGGTGTTCTTCATACTTGTGCAACATCTTTTCAAACATTATGAGGGCATGCTCATTATCTGAACCCTTTGGGACAGTAGGCCA